TAAAAGAATTAGAAATGTTCCAGAACTACCTTGTTTTCAAGAAAGACTAAGTTTTGCACCGAGACCAAACTAATGCCAAATTTCAGGGGCAATTTTACCTCTACTTTCCTTTAGTTTATCCATTCCGAAGATTCCAACGTAGATTAGCGTGAAGATCTCATCTGATTCAATTTTGCAATTCTCATTTCTACTATTCCTGATGAGGTTATGAATGACAAAGCAAAAACTCTTCCTCTCATTTATTTTGTAACTAGCCTTGGCCACTCATCCAGCTCCATTTCACCGGTTGGCCACGTCATGGTGTTCCCCGGGTGGATATTTTCTATAACTTCGTCGTTAAATGCTTGAAGTATCTCGACGACTTTGCCGTTGGTAGAGATTACGGTCCACCGACAGTCCACTCCAGGTGCGAGCCAATTAAGATACGGTCTAACTCGACAAACTTAATGTATGTTCATGAAATCACCGTGATGTCTTATGCCATTGAATGTTTAAGAATGAGGTAAGATGAATTGCTTTCGGGAATAATTTGCATTAACTCAACGGAGGAGACGTTGAGCAGAGTAGTTGGCGAGCGAGTATCGGTGTCATTAGCCAGTCACATTTCTGTTGGCTAGGGAGATCACTTGCACACTCGCTTCGAAATGGTTGCCAAGTCTGACTACGTCTTTATATGAAATGTTGGTTTTCTCTGATTAAACTGACTCGGTTTTACTGTTGATCGGGGGTATTTTAGGCCTGACGACGGCAGAGCAGGCACCCTTGTTTGTGCTGCAGCGCTGCTCAGCCGCTTACGAAGCAACTCGCAGAAGGTGGATGTTTTTGGAACTGTTTTGGCACTGAGTAAATTTCGGCCTGGTATCATCACCTCAAAGGTAAGTGCCCTGCCTTATTGGAGGCATGAATGGAATGTCATTCGTCTCATATTTGCACAAAGTGTAAGCGAGTTATGCAATTTGTGGTCGTTTGTAAGACAGGTCAAGCGTGACTAAAAGCAGCCCTTATTACTATTGCAGGACCACTTGCAGTTCCTGTATCTTTCTGTCCAGTGCTGCATCAACTTTGAGAACTTTTTGCCAGAATCTGAGGACGAGGATGAGTGATTTGGTAGGCAAGAGATCAACAGTAATCATTCTGGAGTCATTTTGTTCCAAGCAATTATGAGGTTATCTCTATTTCGGCTTTCCAACAACTCATCGCTACTGACAAACTTGAAAGTAGCGTAGAGTTAAGAGTGGAGAGAAGAAGCAGCTTTTTCGTGCATCAAAATGGAGTTATCTTTATTTTGGCTTTCCAGCAATCCATTGTGCCTCTTTGCCTGCTCCATCAAGTTTCCAAGCTGTCTACGTGATTTTTCTTGCTGGATTTTGCACAAAACTGCCTTTTGTTCGTAGTTATTTCTTCAATTGACGTTCCTTTCGTTTTACTTTATCTGGATGCCCCATGGAAGCTGCAGTGCGTTCCACGCACTTGACAGACTGCGAATTCGGCACCACCTAGGTCGGTGAGGAAACAGGGCAGTTCAGGTGGTTAAATGTCTTTGATTCAACCACCTAACATTTTGTTTGAAACTGCTGAACATTTGGTTCTTCCCACAATAATTTTTATTTTTTATTGTAGAGATTAATAGCTTTTGTTAGGCAGAAGTTTTCCTCTCTTAAAGCCGAATAATTTGGCAAAAAGACCATTGTAATGAATTAGCTTATGTCAAAGAATCAGCAAATTTGGAAGCCTTCTCCGGCATTCCTGCAAAGCGACAGGTAACAAAGTTTGAGCTGATGAGGAATTCCTCCATGTTTATATACCACATCAATAGAAAAGCTAATTGAAGTGAAAATTGTGGTCACTACAGATAAAAGTGCCTAACGAAAAGCTCGACATGATCTTAATTACAGACAACAGTGAGTCGCGAAATCGCCGTCAACATACATCAGATTAACGAATCAAGAAATGACATGGGAATAGCGACCAATCCATGCATGTTTCTCTTAGACTGATTGTTAAACAAACCTTTAGGGACCGTGGTTGCTTGTGATATTTTAGGCCAAAACAATTACAACAGTAGCTGTATGGTTTCCACAATTTACGAAAGACTGATCCGGAATAAGCTCCCGACGTCGCTACTGATAAACGTACAAGTAGTGTGGATTTTGTGAGTGGAACGCTTCCATCAAGAGAGTAGGACACATTCAACATACAGCCAAATACCTTCTCCTCTTAATAAAGCCAATCTATGGCAATCAAAAAGACTCCTTTGGGTGTGTATTAGTCGCTTAGCCTTCAGTAGGGCCAGGTAGTGAAGGACTAATGTGGCAATGAGATCAGCCAGATCGGCAAGTGTCGTGGCCTCTCGGAGACATTGTTCTCCTGCCACGAGGTCACCCGTACCCTCGAAGTGGGCGACAGAGTCATTGTAATGCGCCTGCAGATCGTTCATTGATAGGGCGATTTCCTTTAAAAGAGCTGAAAAGGGCCAACAATGGAGGTGTTTTAACAAAGAATTCCAGTCTGCTTTAGATATGCAGAAAATTAGCAACACAAGACATGGTATTTTTTAGGCAGATAGTAAGACTAAACAAAGGAAACTTGTTGAGCAGGTATTGTGCCCTGTCAGGAGCCTACTCAGGTATCAAAAAGTAGTCTTCTTTGAAGAAGAATGGTAATTCCATCACCCCAAGTAAGACGCTTTCGCCCCACAGTATGTTTAATCCTACCTTGCATTGCAGAGCCGAACTGACAGGCCTGTACTTTTGCGCCTTTACGCCTTATCTTGCTTTTGAAATACTTAGCTGGTACTTTTGTTAGCAAATGTGCATTCCAACGTAGATTAGCGTGAAGATCTCATCTGATTCAATTTTGCAATTCTCATTTCTACTATTCCTGATGAGGTTATGAATGACAAAGCAAAAACTCTTCCTCTCATTTATTTTGTAACTAGCCTTGGCCACTCATCCAGCTCCATTTCACCGGTTGGCCACGTCATGGTGTTCCCCGGGTGGATATTTTCTATAACTTCGTCGTTAAATGCTTGAAGTATCTCGACGACTTTGCCGTTGGTAGAGATTACGGTCCACCGACAGTCCACTCCAGGTGCGAGCCAATTAAGATACGGTCTAACTCGACAAACTTAATGTATGTTCATGAAATCACCGTGATGTCTTATGCCATTGAATGTTTAAGAATGAGGTAAGATGAATTGCTTTCGGGAATAATTTGCATTAACTCAACGGAGGAGACGTTGAGCAGAGTAGTTGGCGAGCGAGTATCGGTGTCATTAGCCAGTCACATTTCTGTTGGCTAGGGAGATCACTTGCACACTCGCTTCGAAATGGTTGCCAAGTCTGACTACGTCTTTATATGAAATGTTGGTTTTCTCTGATTAAACTGACTCGGTTTTACTGTTGATCGGGGGTATTTTAGGCCTGACGACGGCAGAGCAGGCACCCTTGTTTGTGCTGCAGCGCTGCTCAGCCGCTTACGAAGCAACTCGCAGAAGGTGGATGTTTTTGGAACTGTTTTGGCACTGAGTAAATTTCGGCCTGGTATCATCACCTCAAAGGTAAGTGCCCTGCCTTATTGGAGGCATGAATGGAATGTCATTCGTCTCATATTTGCACAAAGTGTAAGCGAGTTATGCAATTTGTGGTCGTTTGTAAGACAGGTCAAGCGTGACTAAAAGCAGCCCTTATTACTATTGCAGGACCACTTGCAGTTCCTGTATCTTTCTGTCCAGTGCTGCATCAACTTTGAGAACTTTTTGCCAGAATCTGAGGACGAGGATGAGTGATTTGGTAGGCAAGAGATCAACAGTAATCATTCTGGAGTCATTTTGTTCCAAGCAATTATGAGGTTATCTCTATTTCGGCTTTCCAACAACTCATCGCTACTGACAAACTTGAAAGTAGCGTAGAGTTAAGAGTGGAGAGAAGAAGCAGCTTTTTCGTGCATCAAAATGGAGTTATCTTTATTTTGGCTTTCCAGCAATCCATTGTGCCTCTTTGCCTGCTCCATCAAGTTTCCAAGCTGTCTACGTGATTTTTCTTGCTGGATTTTGCACAAAACTGCCTTTTGTTCGTAGTTATTTCTTCAATTGACGTTCCTTTCGTTTTACTTTATCTGGATGCCCCATGGAAGCTGCAGTGCGTTCCACGCACTTGACAGACTGCGAATTCGGCACCACCTAGGTCGGTGAGGAAACAGGGCAGTTCAGGTGGTTAAATGTCTTTGATTCAACCACCTAACATTTTGTTTGAAACTGCTGAACATTTGGTTCTTCCCACAATAATTTTTATTTTTTATTGTAGAGATTAATAGCTTTTGTTAGGCAGAAGTTTTCCTCTCTTAAAGCCGAATAATTTGGCAAAAAGACCATTGTAATGAATTAGCTTATGTCAAAGAATCAGCAAATTTGGAAGCCTTCTCCGGCATTCCTGCAAAGCGACAGGTAACAAAGTTTGAGCTGATGAGGAATTCCTCCATGTTTATATACCACATCAATAGAAAAGCTAATTGAAGTGAAAATTGTGGTCACTACAGATAAAAGTGCCTAACGAAAAGCTCGACATGATCTTAATTACAGACAACAGTGAGTCGCGAAATCGCCGTCAACATACATCAGATTAACGAATCAAGAAATGACATGGGAATAGCGACCAATCCATGCATGTTTCTCTTAGACTGATTGTTAAACAAACCTTTAGGGACCGTGGTTGCTTGTGATATTTTAGGCCAAAACAATTACAACAGTAGCTGTATGGTTTCCACAATTTACGAAAGACTGATCCGGAATAAGCTCCCGACGTCGCTACTGATAAACGTACAAGTAGTGTGGATTTTGTGAGTGGAACGCTTCCATCAAGAGAGTAGGACACATTCAACATACAGCCAAATACCTTCTCCTCTTAATAAAGCCAATCTATGGCAATCAAAAAGACTCCTTTGGGTGTGTATTAGTCGCTTAGCCTTCAGTAGGGCCAGGTAGTGAAGGACTAATGTGGCAATGAGATCAGCCAGATCGGCAAGTGTCGTGGCCTCTCGGAGACATTGTTCTCCTGCCACGAGGTCACCCGTACCCTCGAAGTGGGCGACAGAGTCATTGTAATGCGCCTGCAGATCGTTCATTGATAGGGCGATTTCCTTTAAAAGAGCTGAAAAGGGCCAACAATGGAGGTGTTTTAACAAAGAATTCCAGTCTGCTTTAGATATGCAGAAAATTAGCAACACAAGACATGGTATTTTTTAGGCAGATAGTAAGACTAAACAAAGGAAACTTGTTGAGCAGGTATTGTGCCCTGTCAGGAGCCTACTCAGGTATCAAAAAGTAGTCTTCTTTGAAGAAGAATGGTAATTCCATCACCCCAAGTAAGACGCTTTCGCCCCACAGTATGTTTAATCCTACCTTGCATTGCAGAGCCGAACTGACAGGCCTGTACTTTTGCGCCTTTACGCCTTATCTTGCTTTTGAAATACTTAGCTGGTACTTTTGTTAGCAAATGTGC